TGCATATAAATTAAAAATTTTTACAAGTGGAATATCTGACAATTCAAATACACATATATATTAGTCCAAATTATATTTTTAATTTATACATAAATTCAGATATATGCATTTATTCGTGTTGTTGGTGTTCTGTGTATGATCTTGTCAGTTCCGTGTTGGCTCAAAATAGAGATGATTTTTGCTTCTGTGCAGCTACTGTTGTCTTGGCCTCTGGATGTCACTGTTGTTTCATACAAATGGTGTGAAAGTCATTTTGAAATCTAAATCAGAGAAGAAGCAATCCAAACAGGATCACTCAGCCAACTTTAAAAAATGAAATGTGATTATTCTTTTTTCATTTCCATTTTGGTGTAATTTTCATCTAATGTTAATGTATACCACACATTTTTTTCTTAAGCCACATGAAAATTTCATTATTTTGACCCAGGCTTTTCTTCCTGTATAACTTTCATAATAAAATGAAAATTTAATATGTATTAGAAAAATGCTAGCTTTCATTTTATGAATGGGCTTTTGTATCTTTTATTGCTTACGTTTTTTATTCATAGAATTAATACATATGTACATCTGTATACCTGTATCTAAACAGTGGTGTCATTTTCTTGCACCTTTTCTTTACATGTGACAGTGAGTCAGAAACTCCTCTGTCTCTGTTCACATAGTCACCACAGCAGATATTGCTGTCATTCTAGTGAAGTTGTCCTAGTGTACACACACTTGTAGCAGCATCAGAGAGTTCTTATTTCTCCACTGTTAGCAGCATATCATAACATTTTAAAAACTTAGTGGGTTATCAAGTTTTTTCAAGAAAAGAGCCAGTAGAACAGACTTGCTAGGAACTGGATCCCATGATTATGGCAGCTGATAATTTCCAAGGTCTGGAGGCTCATTCAGTGCCCTAGAGGCCTGTGGCATGAGTCAGTGGTGGAGTCAGTGGCATGAGTAGTCTAAAAGATACAAAGCTGGAGACCCAGAAAGAGCTGATGTCTGGGTCAGAAGCAGTCTGGCAGGAGGGGCTCTGCCTCACACGGAGGTTGGCTCTTATGATCTAGACAGTCTGTTGATTGGATGGGACCCACTCTCTTTAAGGAGGAGCCTGCCTCATTCATTCTTGTGATCTTGTGCAAAAGCCACCCTTCTAGAAAGTCTGAGAACAATATTTTCCCAGATAAGTATATGGATTTTCATTCCATTCCTAGTCTCATCCTTAGAATCAGCTATAACAATGCTTTAACAGTATCAGTAATTCTCTTTGTTTAGTGTTTTTTTTTTCTTTTTCTCTGTCTTTATTTAGTGACTCATTAAACATATGTGTACATGTACTTTTCTGACCTATAGGCTGATAAAAATACTATTATTGTACTCTTAATATACTACCAGCCAATCACATTTCTTTTTTATTATATTTGCTTTATACTTGTCTGTTTACAGTTTTGTTTGCCTGTTAGATTATAACTCTGTAAGTGCTGAATACATATTTATTTTAATCTGTATATATTAAATACTAGCATAATATACTTGGCATATAAGTAGTTCGCAGGAAATATTTATTTTATTAACCAGTACATCTAGATTAACAACTTTACCTTACAGAACTTTTAATGAAAATTTATATAAAATTCTTAGGATATAACATCCATGAAAATCTTGAGCATAATCCATGAAATAAATAATTGTTAAACTAGCTTTTGTGACACTGAGAAATTTCTACTGAGAAGTACAACTGTCAAAAGAATGTAAAGACAAGCCACAATTTGGGCAAAAATACTTGCAAAATAAAATAGTATATAAATGGCTTTTATGCAAAATTGAAAGTACTCTTAAATATGATAACTCAAAAACAGACAACCCAGTTTTAAAAAACTCTCCAAAAGACCTGACCAGACACCTCACCAGAGTCAACGTACAAATGATAAGGACTAAAAGAGTGTTTGTTATATATCAATAGAAGATTGTAAATTCAAATAGCAAGGAGATACTACTACCTGCCTTTTAGAATGCTGATCTCCAGAGCTCTGACAACACCAAATGCTGGTCAAAATATGTAATAACAGAAACATATTGCTAATGGGAATGCAAAATGGCACAGCCACTCTGGAAGGCAGCTGCAGTAACCACTGTACCACCAACGCCTCTGTTACTTTGGAAGACATTCTGGCAGTTTTTGTGAAGTTAGACATGCTCTTTCCATATGATCCAACAACCAGTCTTTGATATTTCCCCAAAGAAGATGAAAATATATGTCCACATCTACACACAGAGTTTTACAGCAGCTTCACTCATGATTGCCAAAACCTGGAAGTGACCAATATGTCCTTTCATACATGACTGGATAAATAGACTATGATTTATCCAGACAGTTAAATGTTATTCAGCACTTAACGGTGGGTTACCAAGCCATGAAAACACATGATGGAAATTTAAGTACATATTATTAAAGTGAAGGTAGCCAATTTAAAATTCACAATTAAAAAGTGAATGATTCCTACTGCATGGCATGTTGGAAAGGCAAACCTATGGAGAAAATTTTAAAAAATGGTTGTAGATTTTAGAAGATAGGGAGAGGTGAATAGGTGGAACTCAGGATTTTTGGACAATAAAAAAGGTACAGACTTTCTAATAATTGGTATACCATTCGCCACACTATTTATTAGTGGACTTGGTGGCTTTAATGCTTCTTCTAATGTAGGTTTAGGAGAATTTTCAAGATTTTCACAAGAATAATAAACACTACAAATAAGTGTATATTAGCATGAACTGCTCTTTGTATCTATTTTTAATATTGACCGAAAACTTTAAAATATTTATTTCAAAATCAAAACTGAATTTATTTTGGTATTGATAATATACCACATTTAATAGTGAGCATCCTATCGTACTTTGCCTTTTAATTTTGTGCTCTCTTTTCACAGGAGGTACGCTTGGTGAACTCTATAAACTTTCAAGTGAGTTTCATAGTATAATTCCTGTAAAATCTGGCCCTGAAGACTTGGAGCTCCTAGACCTTTCAGTACCATTCCTTATTCAAGGAAGATTGTATCACTATGGGTATGTTTTCACATTGGGGATTTTTTTAGAATTAAAAACTGTGTTTTTAATATTTTATCCAACTGGATACTGTATTAGCTAAAAAAGTAATGTTTATTGAGTACAGCTTACATGTATGGACAGTTTCTAATTTATAATGATGGGATTTATAATTTCTCAATTTCATAGTGGTACAAAACTGATACACATTCTATAGAAACCATGCTTTGACTTTTCATCTTTTCCTGGCCTAATGCTGTGGGGTACAGTATTCCTATCATGAGGAGGAAGCCAGAGTTCTAAGTCAGCCCCAGATCAGAAGGTTAAACAATTGATATTCAATAGTATATTATGTTACTAAGCTGTATTATGTTCTGTGGCTTGTATGTATCAAATGCATTTGAATTTAAGATATCTTAAATTTACCTTGAGTTTATCAGCATGTAACTCAACCTATAATACATTTCTCTGGTATACATCTATTATTTTAATAAGAATATATATTTATACTATGTGCAAGGTATAAAGTTGCCATAGCTCAGTGGATTAAAGTGCCTGCTTAAGCAGACACAGGGACCCAGGTTTGATTCCTGGTGTGTCATGCTGGCCCTGCCCCCCCCGGGCACGCTGAGACAGGGACTGAAACTGGGTGTGGTGGTGCATGCCTGTAATCCCATTGCTTGGGAGGCTGAAAACAGGAAGATCACTACAGGAGGATCTGTATGGTGAAACCCTATAGACCCTGTCCTAAATACATAAAGTAAATAAATGAATAAAGTTGCCATACCATCATTTGTTCCTAAACTACACTGACACTTGCTTTCTTGTGTGACAAGAATTTGGATACTAAATTCAAAACTGCAAACCCATTAAGCAATTAAGTTCTACCATTGCTGACTCACTAAATTATAGATTTTCTGCCACTGAAAGTTGTAAGATGAATCTATTATGATCTACAAAGAGATTTTTAGATGTGGAAGGAACAGAAAAGAGTACAAAATACATATTTTTTCTGCTTGATGAAATAGTCACTCTAGAAAGGATCTGCCTTGAAAAACTTTGGATTGTAGGATGTGTCTTAGGTGCTTCTCTCATCCCTGGACAAAAAGCTCAACACCCACTAATTAAAGGACAAAGTGTATTTCAGCTCATAGTTTATAGAGTTTTGAGTCCATAGTCAACTGGCTCTGAGGTGTGGTAGCGTGCAGAGGGGCATGGCAGAGGAAGCTTGCTTGTGATGTGGTGACAGAAAGCAGAGCGTGACCAAGCAGGAGGGAAAGACATGGCCCTGCTGAGATGAGCTCCTGACTGCCTTTTCCAATAAGCCTTGACCTCCCAGCATCTGCCAAGCACACTGAAGAGTACATGGCCCTGTAATCCAGCAACCCTCATGCAGCACTGGGGAAACACCTCCCTATAAAGTGTAACCAGTGGATATGTTGTATCATGCCATCCAACCTCTCCTGCTCCTAACTCTAGCAATTCTAAGTTATAAATGTAATGGGTAAATCTTGATTTCCATTGAAAAATTATTTACTGCAATTGCCATATCTCCCTAATCATAACTTCTTTTTTTAAAAAAATTTTATTTATTTGTGTGTGGGGGGTGCAGCTCAGCCCACCAGGGGGCAGGGCTGGCTGGCATGTGGTGCTTGGGGACTGAACCGCGGTCCCTGTGCTTTGCTAAGCTTGTTCTAAGTAGGTGCTTTAGACCACTAAGCCATCTCACCAGCCCCACTAATCATAACTTCTAAGAGTCATTATACGGACAGTGGTCTGGGTTCTGCAGCACTTCAAAAAGCTTTGGCCAAAAAGCAGAACTAACGCATCACTGTGTGGAATCCCCAGGTTCATCACTGCTTTCACTCCGGTGTCCCCAGAACCTTCATAGCTGTCTTTGGACTCATGACTTCAGAGTCATCTTTGAAATTTAAGCAAAATATAAAAACCTGTGCGTTCTGTTTGTTTCTTTTGAAAAATTCACTAACAGGATGGCGAACACTCTCATCCTCCTTCTCTCGCACTCTTGCTGCCTCTCCTTTTCCTGTCTTGTCTCTTCTAACACAAGAAGGATAATATTAGTTGTAAACTCCAAAATATAACTTACTCTTTTCCTACAAGTTGTTCAGAAAAAAGTCCTTTAAGGTCGTTAATCATTTTACCAATTTCAGCCTAAAGTAAGACATACATTTAGGGGCCGGGGAGGTAGCTCAGTGGCTCAAGCGCCTGCCTGGCAAGCACAAGTTCCTGAGTTAAAGCCCTTGTACCAAAAAAAGGGTATAAACTTAGTTTTTATTTCACATGTTAAGACATCTTTCAGTTTGCTAGTACTTTATAACAAAAGCCAACATATCTTTTATTTTTCTTTTTCATGATAAATTAATTTTAACTGACAGAATTACCAAAAATAACATCATAGTTATATATCCACTACTAAGATTTAACAAATATTAGTATTGTAACATTTTCAGATCCTTATGTTTAAGAAACTAAATTTTGCAGAAAAGAAACAAATCTTTTTACTTGTCCCAATACTAACACTTCCTTCTCAGAGTTAACTTCCTCTAAAACTCGGAGTCAGTCCTTCCTCTCAGTGCTTATGTTCGTGTGAATTCCTAGGCAGTGTAGCATATTGTTCTGTTTTCTAAATTGTATGAACTCATACTATGATTCTTCTTTTGCAACTTACCCTTTTCATTGAATGTTATTTTTAAAATGTGTCAATATTGATACATCTCAATTTAGATTATTGTGATGCCATACAAGTTTATGAATTAATCATTTTAATCCATTTTCTTATGAATGAATACATGGTATTTCAGTTTGTTTCATTTATAGATGACATTGCCAGTGTCTCCTTGTGTGGGTCCTTTATCACAAAATCAGTTTAATGGCTCATGACCAGTTATTTTTCTTCAGTGTTACAACATGGTTATATTATGAAATGGAACAAGACAAAATGGGTAATAGAAAACATTTATCTAGAAAGGGTCAGTGTTAGTCCTGCAAGGTTTCAGTTCTGTGTGTGCTACATGGCCTGTGCAGTGATATAAATTAAACTTTACTGTCTTTGCCAGAAGTGTTTAAAAGTTACTCCTAGAATTAGAACTATTGTATCATAAAGTAGTAATACTGTATTTCTAGTGTTGGTTTTTGCGAGAAAATAAAAGTTATTTTTATGGTTTTAATAACTAATGATCCCTTTAAAAATTATAAAGAATTCAATTTCTGTCAAATTCTGCAACAGTTGGGATTTGGCTAAGTTACAATTTTTTTTTTTTTTTTGGCTAATGAATATCAAATGTTGTCCTTGAATATTTTGCTATTTCCCAGATGATTACTGGGTTTAAGCAACATTGATGATTATTAGCTTTATTGATATCCTATTAATTCTATGTTCATATCATTTGCTTGTTTTTTTATTTAGTTAATAATCTTTTAGGTTCAAATATGCACATCAGCAGTTGCAAGAATTCTTGCTATATTAGCGATACTAATCTTTCATCAGTTATATCCGTACTTCTAGTATGGCCTATACCTTTTCAACTTTATGACTTATTTTATAGCTTTTTAACTGTTAATGTAATCTTGTTTACCAGAGTAATTTTAAAACCATAAATGCTTTCCTTAAGCTTTTTTGAACTGCTGGGCACAAAGATTTATACCTGTAATCCTAGTACTTGGGAGGCTGAGACAGGAGAATTGCTTTAAGTTCAAGGCCAGGTGTACTACATAGTTTGAAGCTAGACAGAACTACGTGGTGAGACGATGTCTGTGGAAAAAAAAAAAAAAAAATTCTTGAACCTGATGT